CACTTCACTTAACACAACCACTAGCCATCTCCAAACTACCTAAAGATGGCATACAAATTGAATTAGTTCTGCAAAGTGAAATGAATATTAAGTGCTGTGTAACAGTTCTCTTCTTCTGGAAGCACTTCAAAAAAAGAGATACATACACATTCCCAACTACTTCTTAATAACAAATTTTAGCAGTACAGTATTTGAACTAGTACTTCCTCCCTTCTCATCACAGCAAATCAAAATACCTATTGATAAGTGGTAGGATTCTGATTAGCAATTCACTATTGCTTACTTACACTCTATATATGTGTATATGGTACACAAAAATTTGTAAAACAGAAACATAAGTGAGATTCTTTAAAAATCATAGTGCTTATTTAAAGGAGTATAGAAGTTTTAATCTATCTCAAAAAGACCCTATTAAAAAAAAGCCACTGTAAATTTCTTTCAAGCTCAAAAAGTAGTCATAAATCCAAATGATCTTGAAATAGACACAAAAATACTGCTGTATCATTTAAATAAAGTTTTATAACCTAGCTGTAATAGGCAATGTATGTCTCCAATACGTTTTCCTGCCAATTATTCTCAAAATACACAGGCTCAATGACTAAGAATCATGAAAAAGGAACATATGGCATATACAACTGGAACCTTCCTCCCTTCGTGATGTTTATAATGAATACCTGGACTGAGAACACTTCTACATATATTTGCTGAGAGGATTTTAAAGAATGAAGATAGCAGTGCTCACTTCAGCAACACATATACAAAAACTGAAACAATCCAGAACCTGTGCAAGTATGACATGCAAATTCAGGAAGTGTTCCTTATTTTTGTGTCAAAGAGCTTAGAGAACATCAATTAAGGAAAAATTTCCCTGGTTGATGAAAAATGACTGTTTAAACATTTAAACCTTTTTTTAAAGATTTTATTTAATTATTTGAGAGCACACGTGTGCATGAACAAGGGGAGGGTCCGAGGGGGAGGGATAAGCTGACCCCCCACTGAGCAGGAAGCCAGACATGGGACTCGATCCCAGGACCCTAAGATCATGACCTGAGCCGAAGGTAGACGCTTAACTGACTGAGCCACCCAGGCGCCCCTGCTTAAACATTTTTTTAATTTAGTGTATGTGCACAGTTTTAGAAGTTAATTATAAGCTCAAGGTTTAACAATCCTCTCTGCCACATCTCAGTCACTATGATTTCCAATCCTGAGGCAAGCATTGTAAATTCTTTTCCCTGTTTCTTCTGGTATTTACTACTTTTATCCTAAATAATATGCTTCTGCTCAGATAGTTACTATGTTTCTATTTTAGATATTATCTATTACCATCCTTGCAAATGATGAAGATTCAGCACTCTTTTTTTTTTTTTTTAGATTTATTTATTTATTTATTCAACAGAGAGAGACAGCGAGAGAGGGAACACAAGCAGGGGGAGTGGGAGAGGGAGAAGCAGGCTTCCCGCGGAGTAGGGAGCCTGATGCAGGGCTCAATCCCAGGACCCTGGGATCATGACCTGAGCCGAAGGCAGACGCTTAACGACTGAGCCACCCAGGTGCCCCGAAGATTCAGCACTCTTAACATTCACCTTCCCTCCTATCTTTCTTATATAATTTTATCATCATTTTTATTTAAGCCACTATCCATTGTTTTTAACAATCATAACAGGAATTCCAGAGGAGAGAGAAGAAAATTACAAAAGCAGTATTATAAATTCATTTCCCAAAGCGTTAGAAGGACACAAGTCTTCCAGTTGAAAGTGTCTACCAAGGCCCAACACAATGAGAAGATTCACACTTAACACATCTCTTCAGACAACCAAGAGATAAAGAGAAAAGGCTGAAACTTAAAAAAAAAAAAAAAGTCATCAAGAAACGAGAACCAGACTGGTCCTGGATTTATTAGCAACAGTAAGTGCAGAAGGCAGTTATCTTTAATAAACATTCCAATCTAGACTTTCTCAGCTAGCCCATCCAGCAACCAAAGTTGAGGGCAAATTAAAGACACCATCAGAGCCACAACAAAAAATAGCATAAGAAAAGTATATGAATTAATATACTTTTTAAAAATTAATTTAAATTATAAAAATATAAATTAAGGATGTAGCCCACCAAATGAGATTAAATCAAGAAAAAGACACAGATCTAAGAAACAGAGGCTCCACTTCAAGAGGACAATAAGAGGCTTAGTGGGAAGGGCATCCTGATTTAGAAGAGCAGGATGGAGGGTTCCAGGAGAGTGTAAATACAATCCAAATGACCTTGATACCAGAAGCACTGTTCTCAGGAAGGTCCAGAGCATTTGGCATTAAGCCTGTTTTTAAAAAAAAAGTAATAATCCTAATATACTACTTGGACTGTCATAAAAGCAAACATTGTTCAATAGTGTCACTTAAAAAAAAAATCAAGCTATGAGCAAATTAATACTTGGCTATGATCACAAACCAAAAGGACTTTGATAACATAAAAATATAGGTGGCACAGAGTGGGTTATCAAAGGTGAGAGAAGGAAGAGGAAAATGTCAAAAGGTAATGGAAAAGAGGTATATTAAAGTTATAAGTGTAAAAAAAAAGTTATAAATGTAATCATTTGGAGATGGTAATAACTTTTTCATTTGTTACCACATACATGTTTAAAACAAATAACAAGTTGGAGAAAAGAGCTACAGTAACAATCACATTAAGAACTCATTAAGAAAAGGTGCAAAGGATATGAAAAGACAGTTTAGAGAAATGTTCAATTAAATCAAGCAATATTTTATCAGGCTAATGAAAATTTTAAGATTCTTAATAGTGTCAGCAAAGGTGCAAAGAAAATGACAGTTCACACACTACTGGTGTAAAGATAAACTCAGTAACCTTTGAAAACATTCCGTCTTATTTAATTTATAAAAACCACAAATGTCTATAACCAAAGTCCAGCAAGCCCACTTCCAAGGTTAGGTTAGGTCAAGAAAGGAAAAGGAAGGGAACAATAGGAAGGAGACACACAATAGGGGAGAGGAAAAAATGCCAAACTGGTATGTTCATATCAGAAAATACTGTACAAACAATTTTTAACCCCATAGTAATATTGAAGGAAAAAAATAGCAACTTACAGAATAAAGTGGAACCAGAGCAGAAAGTGAGAAAGAGCACCAATATAACCCACTTATTTTTCTTCTAAAATATTTCAATTGTAGACCGACATTGACATAAGAACACTATTTTTTTTAAAAATCAAATCTGAGGGGTGCCTCGGTGGCTCAGTTGTTAAGCATATGCCTTCGGCTCAGGTCATGATCCCAGGGTCCTGGGATGGAGCCCTGCATCAGGCTCCTGGCTCAGCGGGAAGCCTGCTTCTCCCTCTCCCACTCCCCCTGCTTGTGTTCCCTCTCTCGCTGTATCTCTGTCAGATAAATGAATAAAATCTTTATAAAAAATAAATAAATAAAAATCAAATCTGAGCAATGATAGATCCAGTTAACAGTTCCCATCTTCACACCCTTACTAAGAATCCCCTTTCAAAAAGACAACCAAATTTTGTAAAGGTACCACCAACATCCATTTTAAAAGGGAAAAAAACTGAAAAGTTATTTCTGAAATGTCAATCGTGGCAGAGTCAGGATTAGAAGGAACCTAGGTCTCTAAAATTCAGAATTAGTTTGTTTATATTGATCTAGATTGGACAATTTTAAAGAAATTATAGACTTGTGACAAATACGCATTTTAATACAAGGTAAACAATGATTTACAATCTATTTAGACCATGAAATCCTTCAAATACATTTGGAAGAAGGGGCTAAATATGAAAATAGGAAAGTAAAAAAGTTAACCAAAAAGGTTTCCAAGACCCCCAAAAAAGGGCTGTCAAACACCAAAATACCTTGTTTCAACACAATTGATTCAAAAAACCTCTATGGTATACCATGAAACGTCAAAGAGATTGCAGACCAGTTCTTCTCAATGTAGTATACAGTTTATTATAGTATGAACTACTAACCCCTCAGCCTTTTGGCCCAGAATTTAAGCAGTGGCTACTTGAGATCTTAGGTTTTATAGTCATTTTGAAAATCCAGCAATCTTCACTGAAAGCCAAATACAAACCTGTATCTGCCTTTTCATTTGGGAAGCCTTGAAAAGCACTGTATTAACCTATTTAGAAAAACATAGCCTCTTCCTTTTAGAAGCACATCAACAAAGAAAATGATGCAAATAATCTGTATCATTCAGCTATCCCTAGAATCTCACTTTGTCAGCCAATACTAGCATAATATAAATAAGCAACCTCATACTTTACCTTATATGTAAGCTTTCCATTTCTTTTTCTTCAAACATTTGCATTATATTGCCTGAGTTCTTAAAGCTTGCCTCTGATTTAGTCTTAGAATTCAGTATAAAAAATGCTGTTGCTCTCTCATTCTAACACAGCATTTAAAAAAAGGAAAGAAGCCAGGTATTGGTATTGCAATTGCTATCATTTTGCAAGCAAATGGATATAAATATCTAAGTAAATGGTACAAATATTTAAATAGAAATCCTTAAACTTCCTCATAGAAGTTAAACAACCTGCAAAATTTAGATTATTTCCATCAAAATATTCCAGATTCGGACATAATAAAATATACACACATGGCCAGATCAATCTAGCTTTCTTCCTCCTTTTTCTCCCACAGTTTTACAAATGGGTCCTCTGTCATCATAGTTTCTGAAAATCAACCAGGTCCATGAATCAAGCAAATAACATTAATATCCTCCATTTAACCATTTCTTCTATTATTCAGCATTTTTTTAAAAGATAGTGGCAAACACCAATTTACTCTGTTGCCTAAGTAATAAAATTAATAAAACTGTGCCCTTTATAAGTGGATATATCAAGTTTGTCATGTTAGAACAGGCTTGTCATCAAGATTTACAGGATAAACAGTATGCCCTTAAATAATGAGGTACTTGCTGCCAAAATGTGCTGCACATATGTGTGTTTAATGGTCCTTTAATGACTTGTCTTTGGAATGATTCTGTCCTACCTTTGCTGCTGCAGCCCGCCTGTCCTTTGCATCACTGAATTCATACTTCTGGAAGTACCCAATATGCACTGTAACAGACAGATGGACAGATCAATGGGCCACAGCGGCAAAGGCCAGATAGACAGACTTGATAAAAATTAAAATCAAGGTATATAAAGGGAAGGGGGAAACCAGAAGAGAACATATCTACCTATATTCTATTAAGCAAAATACCTGAACTTCAGGCCTACAATCCTCCCATACACATACCCAAATAAACTATTTCTGATTTCCATATCATTCCCTTCTTTCAAGCAGAAATAGTACCACCGCAATGGGCAAAATAATCAGTATTTTTAATACCATCAACAGTTACAGAGCAGACATTTCTGTAACCATGCCACACAATTTCTTCAGAGGTAGTTACTTTTTAATACAAAATTATTTTTCACATCCAAAGACTTTCTATGCCAAAATTAATAAGGCAATTATTACAAGCAGAAAACTTCTGTAATACCAGGGTCTATGTGATTCAAGTATACTTGGAATCACAAAGTAAAAGTAGTATTTCAGCATTTTACCATTCTACATTTCCCTGTCTTTCTATGTAAAAATGGTTGCTAGCACCACATCTAGATAACTTTAGAGGGGCTTAAAAAAATATATTAGCGTCATTTAGGTCAATTACCAAGATACAAGATATATGTAAAATATATACAAAATTACCAACAGTATCTTTAAAATCTATTTAGAGTCCTTCTGTTACTTCAAATCCATTCAAACAAGTATTCACACTTCAAGAAATTTCTGATTATTTTTTTTGTAAAGATTTTATTTATTTGACAGAGAGAGACACAGCAAGAGAGGAAAAACAAGCAGGGGGGGGGGGAGAGGGAGAAGCAGGCCTCCCGCAGAGCAGGGAGCCCGACATGGGACTCGATCCCTGGACTCTGGGATCATGACCTGAGCTGAAGGCAGACGCCCAACGACTGAGCCACACAGGTGCCCCCTGAGTTATTTTAAAAACACACCTTAATATCTCAAAATGCTAGCTCGCTTGAGCTTCATTAAAAGCTTAGATCCAAAATTTTAATCAAACATTTTATTTTGCATGCATCTAAGATAATGTAGATTCTTTCTCCAGTTAAGAAAGACCGAGGAAAAACATTTCCCCTTTCACTTCCAAGGGATCTAACCATTTATTCATTTCTTACTGTAACCTCTCAAAAACATGAGCAGGTAATTAGACATGATAATCAAATGTAATGCATGATCCTGGATGGAATTCTAGACTGGAAGAAGAAAAACTATAAAATGACCTATTGGACAACTGCAGAAATGTGAATGTGGTATGTATATTAGTATTTTCTATGATACTGTTATTCAAATATAATCACATACCATAAAATTCACTTTCAAAGTATATAATTCAGTAGTTTTGATTATATTCAGAGTTGTGACAAACAGTTCTGTCAACCATTAATTTTAGAACATTTCATCAGCCCCAAAAGAAACCTTATACCCATTAGCAGCCACTCTCCATTCTCCCTTTCCCCACTCAGCCTCTGACAAACACTCATCTTTTTGTCTCTGTGGATTTGCCTATTTGGGACATTTCATAAAAGTGACATCGGGACACCTGGGTGGCTCAGTCAGTTAAGCATCCAACTCTTGATTTCAGCTCAGGTCATGATCTCAGGGTGGTGTAGTTGAGCCCCATGTTGAGCTCTGCACTAGGGCAGAGTCTGCTGGAGATTTCTCTCTCTCCCTCTGCCTTTCCCCCTGCTTGCACAAACGCACTCTCTCTAAATAAATCAAATCTTAAAAAGGGGGAGAATCAAAGTATGAGGCCTATTGTGACTGGTTACTTTTGTTATTTACTTTTGCTTATTTAGGAAGATCAACAAGCTGAAGGCTTGCCATAGACATCAAATAAATCTGTTTTACTGAGGGAACGGAGAGGAACAATTAATCTGGAAGTCAATTAAATGAAGGCTTCTTAAAGTTTCAACTAAACTATTTTTCTTTCTTTCTTTTTTTTTTAAATTTATTTATTTGACAGAGAGATAGCACAAGTAGGCAGAGCGGCAGGCAGAGGGAAAGGGAGAAGCAGGCTCTCTGCTGAGCAGGGAGCCCGATGCAGGGCTCGGTCCCAGGAGCCCGGGATCATGACCTGAGCCGAAGGCAGCTGCTTAACCGACTGAGCCACCCAGGCGCCCCTAAACTATTTTTCAAGTACTCATTTTACAGACGAGGAAAGAGAATTTATTAATAAGAGAATTAAATAACTGACACAAAGTCATAAAATTGATAAAAAGCAAAGCTGGACCTGAATTTAGTTCTATATATGATGCCAAAGACTTAACTATTCAGCTATTTTGTCTCTTAATAAAATTCACCAATTCTCACCGATTCTACCTCCTAATTGCTTGAATGCCTCTCCCTTCTCTCTAGTCCAGCCTCACTAACCTCATCAAATATTTCTTGCTCAAATTATTGTAATAGACTTCTCGCTACTTTCCTTGCTTCCTAATCTCATCCTATTTTCATTTATTCCCTATACTGCCATCAAAGTGGTCTTTCTAAACACTAATTCCACATTAATTTGTTTCACTAGGTCCTAGGGGATAAATACATCTCATTTAGTACTATGTTAAAACCTTTCATAAACTGCCTGTCTAGCCTCAGCCCCTACCACACTACTTCCCATACCAGACCATTAACAGCTTCTGCCTTTGTACATTCTATTCCTCTCTTCCTCTGGCTGGATGCCTTCTCCTATCCCACCTGCCCAATGAGCTCTGATTATTCATTTTTCAAAACCTAGCTTCAGACCCATTTCCACCAGGAACTGTCAGTCCTTCCCAGAAAACAGCATTAAACATTCCTTCTCTGACCCTGTATGTCAGATATGTCAGTGATATGTTGCACATATCACTATATTATAACTTATTTATACATGCCTCTTTAAAGAGTTGTCCAGTATTTATATTCCCCCAGCATAGCGTAGCAGCTAAAGAAATATTAGTTGGTAAAAAATCAAGTATTCAACGTATTTAATGTCCCCAATTAAAGTGAAGTATTATGTTTAAGATCTCATTAGCCTCAGAGAATATGCAATGAGAAAAAGACAGCCTCTTCAACAAATGGGGTTTAGGAGACTGGATGGCTACATGCAAAACAATGACCACTGGCTTACACCATACACAACAAAGATACATTTAAAATGGATTAAAGACCTAAATGTGAGACCTGAAACCATAAAAATCTTAGAAGAGAAACACAGGCAGTAATTTCTGACATTGCATGTAGCGACTTTTTTCTAGATAGGTCTCCTAAGGCAAGAGAAACAAAAGTAAAACTGAACTATTAGGACTACATCAAAACAGAAAGCTTCTGCACAGCAAAGGAAACAATCAACAAAACTAAAAGATAAACTACAGAATGGGAGAAGGTATCAGCAAATGACATATCCTATGAAGGATTAATATCCAAAATATATAAAAAACTTATATAACTCAACAAGCAAAAACTAAATAATCCAATTAAAAATGGGCAGAAGACATGAACAGACATTTCTCCAAAGAAGAAATACAGATGGTCAAAAGACATGAAAAGGATGCTCAACATCACTCATCATCAGGGAAATACAAATCAAAACACAATGAGATATCACCTTGCACCTATCAGAATGGCTAAAATCAAAAACACAAGAAACAACAGATGTTGGAGAGGATGTGGAGAAATAGGAACCCTAGGGCACCATCGGTGGAATGCAAACTAGTGCAGCTACTCTGGAAAACAGTATGGAATTTCCTCAAAAAGTTAAAAATAGAACTATCTTGGGGCGCCTGGGTGGCTCAGTCGTTAAGCATCTGCCTTCGGCTCAGGTCATGATCCCAGTGTCCTGGGATCGAACCCTGCATCGGGCTCCCTGCTCCGTGGGAAGCCTGCTTCTCCCTCTCCCACTCCCCCTGCTTGTGTTCCCTCTCTCACTGTGTCCCTGTCAAATAAATAAATAAAATCTTAAAAAAAAAAAAAAATAGGACTATCTTATGATCCAGTAATCACACAACTGGATAAATAGCCCAAAATACAAAAACACTCATTCAAAGGGACAGATGCACCCCTATGTTTATTGCAGCATTATTTACAATAGCCAAGTTATGGAAACAGCCCAAGTGTCCACTGATAGGTGAAAGGATAAAGAAGATGTGATACACACACACACACGGGAATATTATTCAGCCATAAAAAAGAAACAAAATCTTGCCATTTGCAACATGGATGGAGCTAAAGTGTATTATGCTAAGTGAAATAGCCAGTCAGAGAAAGACAAATACCATATGATTTCACTCATGTGTAGAATTTAAGAAACAAAACAAAAAAGGAAAAGCAAAGAAAAAAAAAAAACCAGACTCTTAACTACAGAGAGCAAACTGATGGTTCCAGAAAGGAGGTGGGTGGAGGATTGGGTAAAATAGGTGAAGGGGATTAAAGAGTACACTTATCATGATGAGCAATGAGTACTGTATAGAATTGTTGAATCACTATATTGTATACCTAAAACTAACATAACACTGTATGTTAACTATACTGAAATTAAAATAAACTTAACAACAAAAAAATTTTTTTTAGGGCACCTGGGTGGCTCAGTGGGGTTAAGCATCTGCCTTCAGCTCAGGTCATGATCCCAGGGTCCTGGAACTGAGTCCCAGTCTGCCTCTCCCACTCACTCTCCCTCTATGTTCTCCCTCTCTCTCTCAAATAAATAAAATCTTAAAAAAAAAAAAAGTACACGTGAGGCCTTTAGCAGTCAAGAAACACCTAGGGATTCCTGAAAAATCCGTTCTCAGCACCCAGCATTCCTTCCCACCCACTATAATCCCATAATTTAGAAAAACAACTGCCCCCACTCCCAAATATCCTAGGGTTCTGAAGGCATTTTAATTGAGCAAATGACTTTAAAGGCACAGTAGCAAGAATCTGAAGGTCCATTCCCAGACTGGATGAACTTCTTCCTTAGCTTATGGCTGCATGCATATCCTTACCATAACTCTAACTGTGGTTCTTCAACTTTTATCATAAT